AAGTCCTTGGCGAGTTGATGCAGCATGAGCCTCTGATCATCTGATAATTTCAATTGTTTGTTCCCATAGAGATACTCCAGGACATCGCCGATGTTTGCATCGTGCCAGAGGTCTTCCGGTACATCATGATACATCACAGCTTTTGCATCCTGATACCCAAACTCTTCATTCACCTGCAACAGCTTTGCGTGGATCTGTACTCTTACAGGCACACATACACACTCACACACACACACACACAGACACACACACACTCTCTCTCTCTCTCTCTCTCTCTCTCTCTCTCTCTCTCCCTCTCTCTCTCCCTTACACCCACGGCGACATGCACACACACACACATGGAACTGAGGAAAAGCCCCTTCTATCTGGCATTCTGGACCCGCCTGCATTGGCGGCTGTCGCCACTGGATTTGGGAATCTTGGAAGCAATGCCACATCTTCGTGAAGCGAAGGGCGAAGCCAAATGGGTATTGCCTAAGATAGGATTTTGCATAGAGTCCCCAGCTATAGAATGCATGAGGCATCTGGTTTTGCAGACACGACACTGGGATTGTTTTAGCTTCCCCCTCTTGCCAGTGAATCGAGCTTTACCCGTTCGGTCTATTCGACGGGTAACAAGATCGCCCTTGCAAATCCGGCGCTCCTCCTTTGTCAGCCGTGCATATTTCCGGAAAGCCAAAATCGCACTCGAGGAGCTCCACAGGATCGAACGTTTCGGCGTCTTGCTTCCCAGCTTGGACATCCAGAAGGCCTGTCTGTATACCTGGGTTGGTGCAAGGCAATATCGAATGCTTAAGACAGAGTGGCCGCTTATGTTCATCCAGGGGGCACGAACCTGTTTGCAAAGCTCCTGGAAACGCTTGTGTCGATACATCAGAGATGACACTGGCTGTTCCAGGGTCCAGTGACATCCCCGCGACATCAGTAGCCAGGCTACCAGGCAAAACCTGCAGGGCTGAACTCTGAACCCCTTTTCTATCTAGCCACCCATTGTAGGCTAGTGTCTCCGTGGGGACACAAGAATCGGCGGCCGGACGAATGCATACATATGGATACCCAGCTTGAGCAAACCAGCCCGAAATGGAAAACACCACCAGGCTTTGTCCGTAGTGCTTGAATCAGAAGCAACCTGAGGGCTGTTTGGGGGGATGGTTGGGGGTTTATTATTTGTTAGGCTTAGGTCTAGGTGTGTTATAGTGCACTGAGATATAGGCTAATTACGATGCATTATAGATTACGATACATTTTCAATAATACATGCTTCCTGCAACCTTGGCACACAAATCCCGCGTTGCCCAATAAGTCCAGGGGGTTGTTGCAGCTAGGACGATATCCTGTGTATGAGCGCCAATATCGAATATCCATTGCTGGTACCCGTAGCCCATGAATCCGTAGGACTCTGCTCAGCATGCCCAGACCAGCACAGACCTCCACACCATCCAGTACCTAGCCCATGCATGACAGCCAAACACCAGGTGAAATTATTCGACTGACTGCAGCTACCACATGGGCCTGGTCCAGCCGCAACTTGTCGGTTTGCAGGATGAAGATACAGAGGAGCAAAACCTGGGATTCCAGAGGCTCACTACTTGGGATTGGTTGAGGGGTTCGCATTGCATCAGGGAACACCAGGAGCTCGCACACAAACCAGTCGCCGTACAATCGACCTCGCCTGCTCTGCCGTGACCATGGCTGGACTATCTGAAAGCTGCTCGTGTAAGCTGCTGATGCACAAGGCATCTGCGAACAATCCATGCAATCTCCGTCTGCACCAAAGCAAACAGCGACAACGAGGGAGTATGCACCTGATGACGAGGATTCTGGCCGATTCCGTTTCCGCCATGCCAAGCTCATCGAGTACCTGGGGGAAGGCGGGCTTTCTGTCTCCTATGTCATAAGTGGAGGTTGGCAGTAAACCTACAGACTCATGCACAGCTATAGGTGATTGTACCATTGCAAGCTCTTTTCGTACAGCCCCTGAGCGTAAGCTTCATCGGCAGATTGCCAAAGGCCCCAAAAGCACATGGCCCCGGAGAGCGCTGATATCAATTCTGCACAACATGGCTTCTAGTTCGATTGAATATATCGGGGTCACATGTGCAACTACCCCTGTGCACACATGGCAAGGTTTTCCCTGCCTACACATGACCTTGAATTTGACTTGCGTGGGCTGGTCAGGCAGCCCCAAGAACATGTTCGAACATGATCGAAAATCAAGCTTTCTCGAACGCCAGCGGATAAGAATCAGGCTGCCGTCTTAGCATCCTTTTTTCGGCGAACACCACTATAGACATAAGCTGGATCTCTGCATGTCGTACAGCCGCCTTTGCCCCAGCGGCATCTGGGACACCCGAGCTGACGCTCACCGTCCGGAGCCACGATCCTCAGAAGCCGGAGGGGCCGCACCACGGCCTCGGCCATGACCTGCAGGAGCTTCCTCAGAAGCCACGTGGGCCGCACCGCCGCGGCCTCGGCCACGACCCTTCTTGACTGCACCTGCAGCCATCGCATCCTCTGCAATCGAAGCGGCTCGCCCACGCTTCTTGGGCGGAACCTCGGCCGGACCTTCATCAGACTCGACCCTTGAGTCTGATGCCTTGGCTTTGCCCTTCGCACATGGCCGGCTCTTTGCCTTTGCTTTCGCTTTGCAGGTGCTGGCAACTGCTTTCGCCTTGGCTGTCGCCTTTGCCAGAGCTTTGCTCTTCGCTTTCGGGCTCGCCTTGGCTTTGGCCTTCATAGAGCCTTTTTTCGGACCTCGTTTGCCGGGACGCTTGAGCGCCCGCAAGGCGTTCTGATCCTGGGCCGTCACCAAGCCGGAAGACGGAACCTTGGTTTTCTCGTCGGATACAAGCTGAAATCACAAAACATATACTGCACAAAATTTGTGTAGACTCACATATTCGTGCGGGCAGAGGAACGGCAGGGGGCTCGAGATCCAACACAGGCAAATCTCCTGGAGCTGCGCTCTTTCTTGAAGTCGATGGTGGGGTTGTCGTCATGACTTGCGTCTCCTGTCATCACACGCAGTACAAGTATACATACAATTTAGCACACAAATAAAATAGTTATACAATCTAATTCAATCTAACTGTACAGATGTCTCACCTCCTGATCAGGATTGTGCTTGCTGCGGGCTCGGCGGAGAATCGATGCCGGTGCAGGCCGCGTGGCTCGCACTGGTTCAGGGCTCTCTTCGATCGTGATCGGTCCACCTTATTTTGTCAGGTGTAATGATGTCTGGGATTATACATTCATGACACTGTGATTGGACAAGTAGCCACGGCGAAGGGGTGGTCTGGCGGCATCAAACCTTGGACGGCTTAGCGAATTACTTATAAATATATATGGGTTTACTACAGCATTCCGGACATGCAAAAACACAAATAATGCTTAGTAGCGGGGCCAGCTTTTCTTGTAAAGCTGCGATCTCGGCTTGCACGGCCTTTAACTGATCACGCTTATGCTGCGTATGATAGCTTTCGGAGGGCTCGTCGGCGATCGGATCATCTTCCTTTTCCTCCTCTTCCTCTCCTTCCTCCCATTCCTCGCCTTCCTCGGGGTCTTCCTCCTGTTCATCGATCATAGCAGCTGCCTCCTCCCCACGTGGCGGATCCTCTTCCTTCCCCCCTGAGCTACTGCCGCCCCTCCTTGGGGGAGTGTCATCCTCCTCTTCGTATTCATTGGGGTCCTCCGGCTCGTCGAGCCGATCCGTTCTCAACTGATCAGCCCAATCCTGCCGCCTCTGCTGGATGAGGGAAAACAGCTTGCGAACCGGCTCCTCCTGAGTTGTATCGAATGGCCCTAAAATAGACTCAATCATTTCAACAAGTCAGAGCACGTGTATACTGCAGCTAAGCAACCCTGGCAGTCTGACACCGGCGTTCGGCATCTCGTTGTCTTTTAAGAGCAAACGATAGCATTGTTCGAATACTCCAAGCGTCGATCCAGTGTTGCTTCCGATCCTCAGGGATGTGCCCCATCTTCTTGAAGAGGTGGATCACCTGCAGGGGAAAGGTGATTTTTTTAGGAATAAGGCTTCGCTTAATGATGAATTCGGTACTGGGATCCGAAAATATTCAAACCAGCCTCGGGCTCGAGGCGCTTCACAGAAATCTTTGGAGTATCCATCCACAAGAGTACCACACGTAGGATGTTGTAATTCAGTTCCAGAGCTCTCGTCGTCTGGAGTGCATTTCCACCAGTTGACACAGGTTCTCGTATCCAGGGATTTCCTTTGCGAAACCTCTTGCGAACGATCGGGATGTTCTCAAGACGAGCGGATAGTCGGCCCAGCATTGCGCAGACGTGCCTAGAGCCCTTGCAGAACCCTATCTTGAACCTCCGAGGCTCCATCAAAACTGTCATGGAACTGGAGCTTAAGATGCCCAAAAGCTGTCGATCGGTCAAGACTGCACAAACACAGCGTGGGGCACTTTCATCCAGATTGATCATCCTTGAATGCCTCGGCCAGCAAGAACAGAGCTAATCCTTAAAAAATGCATTCCGCAAGCCTATTCAACTGCTGCGTAGCTGCCACCAGTCCATCATATCAAAGACATCGCAGCCAGCATCACATAGTTGAGGTCCTTGAAAGCCGCAGTTGTGCTTAAGGATGGGGAAATTTAGCGAGGCATCGGGACTGTTCGTGACCCTCGGTCCTCCATCCGAGGTCTGGAGCTTCGGATCCATTGGCCACGGGCGAGCGCAGAAAACATTCGAGAACATGTTTATGTTGTGGGGTATATCTGATGATTCATGAATCGGTATGATTTTGAAAGCTAGGCAAAATATATTCGGATATAGCAAATTGATATGAAATGACTCGTGCAGAATGTGCACCCAATCGGTGTATGTCTACACCTCAGTTCCACCTTCTATCCACACCCTATACAGAAACCCTATAGATAAATCTACAAACCCCTAAACCCTCCCCTCAACCTCCACTCCAAGCTCACCCCTGTGAGCACTGGGCGCGGATCCTCGGCATTAGGGGTGGCTTAGGGATGCTTAGGGTTTATAGACGCATGCCTAAGCAGCTTCAAAAGAAGAAAGCCCTTTCGAATAAACTCAAGCTCCCACACTTATTTCTATATCAGAACCAATCCCAAGCTCTTTTATATGCCCTACAAGGACTTCGGATGCGACATACGCTTGTAAAACCTCGATGCAAGACCTTGCTGAACTCCTTCTGACTAAGTTAAGTCTGATGTAGGAATGATGGATATAGGGTTTATACCTAATAACAGGCACAGTGACCATTTTTCTTGTCAGGCGCTAGATTGCGCAGCTACTTCAGGAAAGGCGCTAGATTACGCACGGTTGCCTATTATTTTGGGCGTTTTGGTTTTCAAGGTAGGGTTTAGGGTTTAGGGTGTCCACACCATCCTTCCACCTTTGCCAAGCCTAAACCCTAAACCCTGAATCCTAAAACCTGCAGGCCTCACACTGCGTACCAGAGATCACGGCAAACGCTGAGCAACCTAAGCCCAAACCCCGCAGTCATCGAAGCAACATCCAAAATCCTGAATCAACGCCGAAACCCCAAAGGCAAACTTAAACTCAATAAGGTGCGCGCTTGTCAGGCGAGAAGTTGGCGGCTCAGGTCCTTTGAAAGCTTCGGAATGGTGCGAGAGTTGCTGGGTTGCCGTTTCCGTTTAGCATTCTAGGCCTTTTACAAGCTTTACTGGCAACTCATTGTTGAAGGCTCGATTGCGCTACCCTAAACCCTAAACTAAACCCTAAGCCCTAAACCCTAAGCCCTGAAAACCTTAAACCCTTTATTTTGGGCCCGGGTCTGGTAGTACGTGAGGCATTGGGGACTGCAAGGCTTTTGGGCTCGAGGGCCTCGGGGTTTAGGGCCTTTTGGGCCTTGAAGGCTTTGGGATTTAGGACCTTTGGGGTTTAGGGTTTAGGGCCGTAGATTTTTTTTTGGTGGGGGGGTCAGGGCTTAAGACTTTTTCAGCCTTTTGGCCTTTCGGCTTTAGGTTTGGGCTCTAGTTAGGGGCTTGAGCCAAGCCCAGCTTGCACTCCTCTGAGACGGCCCTGATTTGCCCAAACCCCAAACCGGGACACCTTAGCAGCTCAGGTCCTAGGATTAAAGGAAACTACAGGTGGGGAGTTTAGGGTATATAGGGCTTCTATAAGGTATATAGACCTTCTATAAGGCTCCTATATGTAACGGTAGCTGCCCACCTGAAAATGTCCTAGATATAGGAAGCCGGACAGGGATCGTAGCGTCCTCACACGTACTTGTTAACTGCGGCTTAGTCTTACAGCACCCCCCCAAAAACCCAAAACCCAAAACCCTTGAACCCCTAATAGCCCGAAACCCTTGTAGTCCCCACGTCCGATGCAGATCGATCAGCAGCTTCCAACCTGCACCCTGATCTCGTTTATCCTAAACCCAACACCCTAAACCCAAAACCCTAGGGTCCTACACCCAAAACCCCTAAACCCCTAAACCCTAAACCCCCCAAAACCCCAAACCCAAAACTCAAAACCCTAAACCCCAAACCCTGAACCCGAAACCCTAAACCCAAAACCCTAAGCCCTGAACCCTAAACCCAAAACCCAAAACCCCAAGCCCAAAACCCTATAAACCCTAAACCCTAAACCCTAGGGTCCTACGCCCTGTCCCCCTTGAAGCGGAAACCGCGGAGATCAGAATGGGAGTTTCCGAAAGTGGGGGGGGGGGGGGTAATTACCTTACTTTGGGGTCCCTGAAAATAAGGATCCTATAATTTGGGGTACTCTATTAGGGTCCCCTATTTTCGGAAACCCCCATATGAAGCCCTACACCCTAAACCCTAAACAACCCTACCGACCCCCCCCTATTTTGGCATCCTACTTTTATATGGATTCTACTATTTGGGGTACTCTATTCGAGTGGGACTTAGGATTAGGGGGACCCTTGGGGATATAGACCCTCTCAATAAGGCCCCCCTTTAGGAGAGCCAGAAGTAGGGTTCAGAAG